CCCCGCCCCCCAGGCAGTTCCATATTTTTGTTTCCTCCTTTTTCCTGAATCCATTGCTCATTAGATCTAACGATGTCCATGATAATTATTCACAGTCCACGATCGGATCCCGCATCACCGTTTGGGAAGGTGCTGATGGAGCGTCAGGCTGCCCCATCGCCAGGGGGTGGGCGGGGGGGTGGGGAAAGCGTGATCCACCGGGTGTGGACAGACAAGATGGGGGGGGGGGGGGACAGAGGGAGGGACAGTGAAGGAGAATGAGGGCTGTCTGTCCCCACAAGGCCCTAAATGCTTATTTTCCGTCTCCTTCTCACCAGAAAGGTGTAAGATCATGACCCATTACTCTGTCTGTATCCCTTTTCTTTGGGGCAGGATCTGAGCACTGCACAGCTGGACAGTCTCTGTCAGTCTGTCTCTGTATCTGTCTGTCTGCACCTCCATCTCACTCTCTCTCTCCGTCTCTCTCTCTCTCGGAGCGTGGGTGGGGATGGACAGATGGGTGAGTCACGGGTGCAGACGTCGGTTTAGGTTGAAGGGGGCAAAGCGCCGGAGTCTCAGAGTCTCTCCCGAGCTGGAACCCAGATATAGGGACCAGACTGCTCCTCGATTACAGTCTTGACCTTGTGGTAGACCTCCTCGAAGCTGTCTCCCTCCACGATGGCTGCGCACGGGAGATAGCGACTCAGTAAGGAGCGGGATGGGGCAATATTATATTCCAGTGGGGAAAAATGTGCTTGCTAAGAAATGAAGTATTCTAAGTACAAATCAGAGCAACATATCGCAAAGTTTTATGATGATCCCTTGCTAAGGGTGTAATGTACCCTCCAGGACACAAGGTGGCGCCATCTCACCTGAAAAGCATTCAATAAAGTCTTGCTCCAGCTTGATGGCACGGTCAAAGGCTTTACGAGCTTGCTCCTCAGTCAGGCGAGGGTTGATCTCTCTGCGAGACAGCAGGACGGGGGGTTTGTCAGAGCAGCAGAGCGGTCCGTTTACAGCAGGGGGTGGCTGACGGTATAAGCCTTACGTACAGGACGTTCTCTAGCGACTTGGGCCGGATGAAGACGGCGATGGGATGCAGCTGGGCGGCCTGCAGCCTCCTCACAGCGTTGGCCGACACGTCCAAGATGCAGTGCTTCCCCTGCTGCTCGGGGGGTGAGCGGACACATAGGCACAGGAGACAACATGGGGCACGCCACTCAGATCAGACAGTCTTGCCAGAAATGCCAGCCGCGCACTTGATTACCCCGCCCACATGCCCATCCTCTACGCAACCTGTCACCCCTCCCATCTCTTCCCCCTTTTACCTGTTTAGCCACCTTCTGACCTCCCTGCCCACCTCTCAGCCTGCCCACCTGTCTGCCTTTAGCTCCGCCCACCTGTCTGCCTTTAGCTCCGCCTACCTGCCTGACTTTAGCTCTGCCCACTTGCTTGCCCACCAGTCCGCCCGGCCCCGCCCACCTGCTCAGCATCCTGCCCACCCCGCCCCCAGTCCCGGCCACCTGTCTG